CTATAATAATATGTTAATGGCACAATGGTTTATTTTTAGAGCATGTTTTGCCCCAGAAATTAACAATCAGTGCAAAGAGCTGCATCAGAAATGAATGCAATCAACATTATATACAGTATACAACAAAACTATAATAAGCTTTATATATTTTATTACTTTACAAGCTACAACAATTAAGCACAGTAGCCTATTAGATTTGAATAATATAATTGTTCATATGTGAACAATATAACCTGGTCATTTGAACAAAGTATTGAATTTTAAATCTAAAAATGTATACAAATAATAATGTGTATATATGTATAAATAAAAAATGCTATACACTACACTGATTCACCTGTCAATGAACAGCAGTGTACTGACCTGAACTGTAAAACTAGGTGAAAGTTCATTCATGCAGGTCACCTCATACAACCTCAGTTAAAAGCGCTAATGATGTATTGTCATTTATAATATAAAACAAACAATATATACGCATGTACATTACAGGTTATGAAGTTTTTATGTAACATTCTAACCTGTGAAACTAGATTTCACGCCAGTGCAGCCTCGAGCCAACAAGAGTCTTGCGCTCGCCATCCTTCTCAAAGCGACGTCAGCGTGAGCGCGCGCGTACGCAATGACAAGAGCAATCCCGTCCAGCCGCCATTAAGGCTGCCAATGTATTGCCTTTAAATCAAAATATACAGTTTTGCAGTGTTTTAACGCTAATAATGACATTTTATAATATCGTATATTTTAATACTTCATATAATTGAAATGTCACTTTTATTAAAAGAGAAATGAAGTATGTAACCGCGTCTCTTTTTTCTGCTCAGGCACTGACTTGGGTCTCACTTGGGTCCTACGGCTCATGCACTGCTGTAGTCATTAGATCGACGCGGCGACACATCAAACATTATTCTCTCTCCACGTTCACTACAATAACAGGTAAAATATGATTTATAAACTTGCTTCGCCACCAACATTTTGCGTAAATGCTAAATTCTAATGCATATCTTAAACGGTGTTGTTATATAGACGAAAGAATGAATCCGTTTACTTGTTTGTGTGTTAAAGTGTTATTTGCAGGTCTCGTAACGGTCATTTTAATGTCATGTTTGGTAATGTAATGATTAATGTTGTTTTATAATGATGATATGATCTTAATAAGATGTTTAGATGCTTAGTGCCTTTGTATTTGTCCTTGTCCAGACTCCAGACTACTGACAGAACTAGGTGAAGGGTCACACACACACACACACACACACACACACACACACACACACACACACACACACAGTAATCAGTGATGCAGATACTTGCATAACTGTTATATTATAACACATTTAAAGTATAAATTTGAATAGCAGTGGGGGAAAAATAGCAAACTACAACTTTTTGCATAGTTGCTAAATGTCTATGATAAATTTATTTGAAAAGATGATCTGTGCTAGCATTTTTTTCTTCCCACTTTAATTTTTTAAAATTTAATTATTACTATCCAATATAGATGCAATGTAGTGCTATTTTATATTTGATCATTCAATTTATGTACCTGAATTCATACTAAATTGAGCTATTTATATCATCTGGTGGAATTGTATTCATATCGCAATATGTATCGCAAAAAAACAAAACATTGCAATGTCAGATTTTTATAGAGGTAAAGTTGGTTTTATATTCGGACATTCTACTTTATAGTATAATTTTAGAAAAGTATTCTTTGCAAATTATAATAAGGGAAACATTTTAGCAGCAAAGGACTATCAAAATACAACATTGTTCACAGTGAATTAGATAGTGTTAATGTTGTTTAGTAGTCATACTGACATGCTAATTCTGATCGAATCTTCAAAGTAACATGGTAAACAATGTAGAGACTGCTAAATGAACAAATGTGCGAATATAAAACCAACTTTACCTCTATTAGATTTTTCCAGTGTTGTGCAGCTATAATATATTCATATTTCTAATGAAATACCTTGTGCACCACAGGCTAGTGTTAAAATATGAATACATGGTATTATGAAACACTGTACATTTAGTTGGGTATTAATATGACATGCATTTGTTTAGCTTATTTTTGCATGATTTGTTTGCTAGTTTTGTATTTTTACCGATCCTTACTGTATTTAACCTTAAATTTTTTGAGAACACTAGACTTTAGACTTTACCCATTTGTTTGATATATTTATTATATGTAAAGTAGTTTAGTTGGCTCAGATGTTCTTTTATATATTTATATAAGCACGTGTGAGATATATTTATTCTGACCTGTACTTAATATGTTTTTATTATAATTTTTTTTGTAAAATAAATGGTTACACTAAAATATATTGAACATTATTTTACCCCCTCTTTTGAGTTTCTGTGACTATTTGAAACATTACAGTAGAGAATTGCTTGTTTTGTATATGTATATGAAATTGGTCATTTCTATTGGTAGTTTTAAATAATCATTACTTCATATCTTTCAGGTAATCAAACATGGCGTCGATGCTGATGACTTCACTGAGGAGCAGCCCTTTGACGTCTGTGCAGGCTGTTCAGTTCGGTGAGACGTCCTGTTTTCAGCAGAGCCAATGCATACTTCACATTAATCCGTTTATTCAGCATTTAGCATGTCATTATCATTGATTAGTGCTTTATGACTTACTGCATATTCTTTTTTTTTCCTCCAGCTGCTCGTTCTCTCAGCACATCTGTCCATCTTCAAGCTCAAGGTAATGTGTTTAGACTAGTTATATTTGTATGTATTCTTCAAAGCTATCCATTAAACTAATTAAAGGGATAGTTCACCCAAAACGGATAATTCTGTCATCATTTACTTATTATTCACTTGTCACAAACCTGTTTAAGTTTCTTTCTTCTGTCAAACACAAAACAAGACATTTTTAAAACTGTTGGAAAAAACATCCATTAACTTCCATAGTATGTTGTTTCGTCTTTGGAAGTCAAACATTTTTCAAAGCATCTTCTTTTGCATTTAACAAAAAAAGGAAACTCTCAAAGGTTTAAAACCACTTGAAAGTGAGTAAATTGTAATTTTTTGGGTGAACTACCACTTTAAATGCATTTTAATATATGTATATAACAATTCAATATAATTTAGCTGAAAAAAATTGAATGTGTATGTTTTTAATCAAACAGCAAAGAGTAAGAAGTCTTTGGCCAAACCAGGAGTGAAGAACATTGTTTTGGTTGAAGGCGTTCGAACCCCCTTCCTTCTGTCTGGCACCACGTAAGATAGTGTACATTAGTTTGTGCTTCAGATGAACATGAAGTCAGAAATGCAAGCTGATAAACTGAACACGTTACTTCTCTGAAATTCACATCAAATGTTTGTGGATTATATGTTCATATTTTTGTTAGTTGATGTACATCGTACATGGACTATTTCTACATTTTAAGGATCTAACATGTATTTTATACATAACTGACACCAACTTATGTGTCAAAATATGTACTTTTTCAAAATTAGGTAATTAGTTACATAGTTCATTTATTTTTATGTAGTTTACTTTTGTTAATGGTGAAAAGAAAGCTGGGAACTATAAACTATAGTATGTATGTATGTATGTATGTATGTATGTATGTGTATGTGTGTGTGTGTGTGTGTGTGTGTGTGTGTGTGCGTGTGTGTGTGTGTGTGTGTGTGCGTGCGTGAGTGTGTGTGTGTGTGTGTGTGTGTGCTTGCGTGTGTGTGTGTGTGTGTGTGTGTATAGTTTAAGACAAAATTACAATTATTAGTTACAGTATGACATTTTTTACAGTATTTACTATTATTATTATTATTATTATTATTATTATTATGCAATCTACATCTAAAATAACCAACTTGCAATAGATATGTTATCGTTTCATATTACTTACACATGCGTATAACCTAATTATATATGAAAGACACTTGTCAGATTGTATTTTAGAGAGCAGGTGTGAGATTCAGTTGTGTCCTCTTAATTTTCTGTGATTTAGGCTCAATCTAATATGGACTGTCTGTCTGTCAGTAT